CTGCATGCCGTATCGAACGACAACGGCCAACGATGCGTGAACTTTGCAGCCTCCCGGGGTATGGTAGTTCGAAGTACCTTTTTCCCCCGCAAGGATATCCACAAAGCCACCTGGAGATCACCTGACCAACACACAGAAAACCAAATCGATCACGTTCTAATCGACGGGAAATTCTTCTCCGACATTATCAACGTCCGCACGTACCGCAGTGCGAACATAGACTCGGACCACTACCTAGTTGCAGTATGCATGCGCTCAAAACTCTCGACGGTGCATAACACACGTCGAAGTCGAACACCACGACCCAACATTGAGCAACTACGGGACACCGGAGTTGCCCAGGACTACGCGCAGCAGATGAAAGTTGCACTACCCATGGAAGAGCAGCTTGGCGCAGCTTCTCTTGAAGATGGCTGGAGGGACATCCGTTCAGCCATAGGTAGTACTGCTGCAGCGGCACTAGGTACTGCAATCCCGGACCGAAGAAATGACTGGTTTGACGGCGAATGCAAACTGTTAGTAGAGGAGAAGAATGCAGCACGGGCGAGAATGCTGCAACACCGCACGAGATTGAATGTGGAGCGATACAGACAAGCGCGGAACAGACAAAACTCGGTTTTCCGAAGGAAGAAGCGTCAGCAGGAAGACCGAGATTGCGAGGCGATGGAAAATCTGTACCGCGTAAACGACACACGGAAGTTCTACGAGAAGCTAAATAGTTCGCGCAAAGGCTACGTGCCGCAAGCCGATATGTGCAAGGACTTGGACGGTAACCTTCTCACGAACGAGTGTGAGGTGATTGAGAGGTGGAAGCAGTACTATGACGAACACCTCAACGGTGAAGCAGCAGAAAACGAAGGTGGCACGGCAACAGACTTTGGAGCACGCGCAGAAGACGACAGGCTACCGGCCCCTGATCTTCAAGAAGTTGAGGAGGAGATCGGTCGGCTGAAGAACAACAAAGCAACTGGTGTAGATCAACTACCAAGTGAGCTATTGAAATACGGTGGTGAAGCACTGGCTAGAACGCTGCACTGGGTAATTGCCAAGATTTGGGAGGAGGAGATATTACCGGATGAGTGGATGGAAGGTGTCGTATGCCCAATCTACAAAAAGGGCGACAAGTTGGATTGCTGCAACTACCGCGCGATCACACTGCTGAGCGCCGCCTACAAGGTACTCTCCCAAATTCTATGCCGCCGTCTGTCACCATATGCAAGAGAGTTCGTGGGGCAATACCAGGCGGGATTCATGGGTGCCCGCGCTACCACGGACCAAATTTTTGCGATTCGGCAGGTTCTGCAGAAATGCCGCGTATACAACGTGCCCACACATCATTTGTTCATCGATTTCAAATCCGCATACGACACAATCGATCGAGATCAGCTATGGCAGATTATGCACGAGTACGGATTTCCGGATAAACTGACGCGATTGGTCAAGGCGACGATGGATCGAGTGATGTGCGTTGTTCGAGTATCGGGGACACTCTCGAGTCCCTTTGCATCTCAAAGGGGATTACGGCAAGGTGATGGACATTCGTGTCTGCTATTCAACATTGCGTTAAAAGGTGTGATCAGAAGAGCAGGGATAGACACGAGTGGCACGATCTTCAGGAAGTCCATCCAGCTTCTTGGCTTCGCCGATGACATCGACATCATGGCACGGAACTTTGAGAAGATGGCGGAAACGTGCATCAGACTGAAGGCTGAAGCTAAGCGGATTGGACTTGCCATCAACGCATCGAAGACGAAATACATGTGAGGAAGAGGTTCCCCGAGTTCACTGGTGACCGCCGAAAATGATACCAGCAGAGATTTTCAAAGACGTTTTATGGCAGGGAATCGTGCCTAATTTGGACGAAAATTCGCCCCCGCACGAAGTTGACTATATACAAGACGCTCGATCTACTATCTGAACTATGCTCGTGGAGGATCAAAGCGGCCTTGGTGTTTTCGAACGGATGGTGTTGCGTATCATCTAAGGTGGAATGCAGATGGATGACGGAACGTGGAGGAGGCGAATGAACCACGAATTGCACTAGCTGCTGGGAGAACCATCCATCGTCCAAGTTGCAAAAATTGGGCGACTACGGTGAGCTGGGCAGGTCGTAAAAATGAAGCACGACGACCCGGTGAAAATGGTTTTCGAAACCGACCCAACAGGAACAAGAATCGACCAAGTAGAACGCGACCTGCGGACCATCGCAGACTACGAGATTGGCGAAGTGTGGCCATGGATCGAGTAGAGTGGAGACGACTTCTTCGGACAGCAGAGGACAACAAGGCCTTAGTCTGATTGGTAAGGTAAGTATGTAATCAAATGCATGTTGGTTGCATTTTTTGATGCTAGGTGAAAAATCGCTGATTGGGACTCTCATGAAGTGAAATAAACAGGTTTAATATGTCAAACACATTCTTTTCAACCTCTTCTTGTATCTTACCTATTCAAAATATGATCATAACATCTAATTATTTCATAATTAAAAAAAACATTGTTTTAGCTGAAATGAGTATTTGCAACCTTGCTTATGGGAGCACGAAAATAATTGATTGAAAAATTTTAGTTTTAAGAGTCTATTGGAGCTTTGAAGCATTCCTCGTAAGGTTTATAGAATGTATTATACATTACTTGACTTTTCAGACGCAAATGTGCCCTTGTTGATCGATGATCGTGTCTCCAAGAAAACAAAAGAATCAAGCATATTGTTAGCATAATGTATTTTCCAACAGGTAATCTATTTTGCTCGTTCAACCCAACTTTAATTGAATGTAAATTTCAAACTCAAGCATAATATTTAATTTTTTGGCTATTTTTCTAATCCTTCAAAATGTTGCCTACCCGTCTATCCTTGTCTTTGCGTCTATGCGGCAGCATTAGAAATCTCCACCAAAATCGTGCAGAACCTCCTCCACCGAAAACGCGAGAATACTCCGTCGAAGCTCACTGGAACCTCCTTTGGTAGTACCGAAATCTCTCAGAATCCTCTTCACCGTGAACATATGAAAACTCCTTCAAAACTCCCCTCGAAAATTCAGATGCTGTTTCCAGAGGCTTTCGACGAAGTTTCCACGCATTATCGGTGAAAGAGGATGGAAGTTCCAGGGAACATCGACGGCGTTTTCTCTCTCACGTTATCGATGGACGAGATTCCGCGTGATTTTGGTAATTTTGGAAGCTGCCAGCGGGAGTTTCTGGAAGTTCAAATGAATTTTTCCTGCCTTCTAGGTGGAGGAGGTTCTGCATGATTTCGAAGACTGCCAACGAAGGTTCTAGGAACTTTGTCTTGTCCTGATAAAGGGTTCATCCACCAGGATTACGTTTGACACGGTTTGACTACATGCATTACATTGAGGCTACATTGAGTCTGTTGATGTTGACAAATAAATAAATTACAACTACAAAAAGTATGACATTAAAAGATGCGAAATTTCGATGGCGTTTTCTTACCATCTTGGTAGATGAGGTCCCATTCGGTTTCGGTGGAGATTTATGATGCTTCCAGTGAAGGTTCAAGGAAATTTTAACGGAGTTTTCACGCGTTCTCAGTGGAGGAGGTTCTGCACAATTTTGGTGGAGGTTTCTGATTCTGCCAGCGGATGTTCCAGATTCGTCGGAGTTTTCTCGCATTTTCGGTGGTGATTTTCGGTGCTGCTAACGGAAGTTTCAGGAAATCTGTACGGTATTTTCTCGGGTTTATTAAGTGGAGGAGCTTCCGCATGATTCTGGCGGAGATTTCGGATGCTGCCAACGGAGGTTCTACGGAATTTCGACGGAGTTGTCCCGCGTTCTCGGCGGAGCAGGTTTTTCGTAATTTTGATGTTTGCAGTGGACAGCTTCTACACGATTTCGTTGGAGATTTTCTTTGCTGCCGGAGAAGGTTGCTGGGAGATTTCCGTGAATTCTCTACTCCGAGTTTTACTTTACTGTTGTGTTTGTTTATCTTCGCCTCGATCCATGTATGTATGTATAATTGTCACCGGAAAAGCGCATGCTTTGTTTTGATTTTCACATCCCACTGAATAGTTGATGCAAACGATGGAAATTAAATGCATTTGATTTAAATTAAATGCATATTCAATGGGAATTCTAAAAGTGAGACTCCCCTAAATAGATTCCACAGATAAGCGGAGGCACAAATAGTTGTTTTGGCAACCATGAAAAATAAATGATCTTACTGGCATCCGTGCAAAAAGTTCATGCCATCATAAAGCTCTTCGTTGTGCAATTTTGTTTTGTTTCGTGCGTAAAAGTTCAAAATGAAGTGCAAAGAAAATCTTTGAAACAATGTATCGAGGAATGGTTTGCTCTATTTTTCCTTCTTCCGTTGTCCGCGAAATAAATCGGAATGTGGAGTGTGGAAAGCGTTTTGTGCTCATAATATTACAATACTTCTCCCTCAAACAACACCATGATGACGTCATGTTGGTTTGGCTACACTAACTGACAGTTCGTTTGGCTACATTATATTGTCTGTTCGATTGAAAATCAAAAACCGGGCACTGTTCAGAACTCAACTATCTCACTCGCGACAAACACGCAAAAAAAACATACCAATAGTGTGTAAAAGGCAAAAAAAAACGTAACTGTTCCAACCGCTTAAATAATCATTGAACCTGTTTTTGCTATGGTAAACAAGTTTCCCTGATTTTATTTACTTAGCTATTTGATAAAATTCAAGTTCTGCATAAAAATTCTCATTTCCCAAGTCATTTCTAATATAGTTCAATAATATGGTGAGTAATAGGGTAATAGGTTATTTTTGATTTCAAAATGAGTAAAAACAACTTTGCGTGCATTTGTTGTTATTTTCGTTTCTCACAATCATTCATCGTTATGGTGGATCGTTATAGTACGTTCAGACTACAGAGTTATAACATGTTATAGCGCTATCTTGATGGTGGTTTCTGTGTTGCAATTATTTGACAACCGTTATAACATGTTATAACTCTCCAGTCTGAACAAGGCATTATACTAGAAATATCTACGTGTAATGTGAAAAAACTCCAATAATGGATTCGGAAATGGAGGAGTGAGCGTTTTTATTTAGATTTAGTTTTGATTGTTAAATCAAGATTTGGATTTTTCAGTTCCTATGAGAGCGAAGAACATTTGGACGAGGAAGAAGAGAACGACCCAGATTCGCTGATGATGACTGAAGAGAATACGGGTATCTACAACCTTGAGCTTCCTTACGACCAGCTGGGATTGTGGCCGATGAATGACGATGTCGAGGAGGGCGATGATTCCAACGGTGAAGCAGAGGAAAAATCTGGTGAAAAATATGTTTTTTCATTCACTGGAATATTCTGCCGTCGACTGTATCGCAGCCAGCAACGCCCAAAAGAAACAAACAGAGCTTTTGTGAATGGTAATTCAGTGAACGAAATTCTGGAATCAATTTGGGTTCAAGCCAAAAACTTAATGGATCGACAAGTCACGTTCGAGAATGACGTTCCCAGTTGGGTGGAGAAAACTGAACCAACCATCGAAGACATGCATGAGTTTGTAACTCTGCAAGTCGATGTAAAGAGAAAACTGTATGCAGTTAGTGTTCTGACACCACGGCTGCTGACGAACTGGCGAGACAAATGTGTCAAAATATTTGTCTATGCCTATTCATCAAGGGTGGAAACAGCCGGGCAGTACCAGCAGGTAACAAAAAAATTATTGGCGCCGCAAAATCCTGACCGAGCGGGTGCCCATTCAACAAGGGATGATGCTGCGTTGGTTGATGAGCTACGCCGAAGTCATTGCCACCTCGAGGGCCATCAGAGCTCATGGCTACTATGGGCCAATACAATAAATTCCTCGCCAGCTCATAAGCAGGAGGATTTGAAGAAAGCGGAATCCCCGCCTTTCGAGCTTTCGAAGTATTTTCGATGGGCTGCTGTGTCTGAAGCAGCTCGTTTACAATCACTTCACCGAGGAATGGTTGTAGCTCGGACATCGAATAGTGCCTGGTGTCGTGAACTAGATGATGTGAAGACCGAAGTTTCTCTCGGAATTTCAATTCTCCAAGGAGTAATGCAAAAACTGGAGGCCATGAATTTTTGGGGTCATACTGAGTCAGAGCTTTTCAGTGCGATGGAATCTGCCACCCAACCGGAAGAATCAAGCTTGAGTCACCCCTTGGCAGAGAAAGTCATAGATTGCACTGATATCGATCATGCGTAGTAGTAATACGTAGAGAAAGGCATTTTTGTTAAGTCGTTTTTGTAGTTCGTTTTTGTTGTATGAATTAAAATGATATCGTTATCTTTGTTTTCAATTCGTTTTTTCGACTTTAAGAAAAATGGAACAATAAACGTTTTAATCAAGCTGATTTACAGTTTTAATGGTTTTCTTCGAAAGGTTAGCTGGGAAATACATTAAAATCCATATATTTTGGGTCCTGAGCTAAGCCCTTTTCCGGAAGAAATACACCCCCAGACATGTACCCACAATTTTCGAAAATATTGCGGCACGGATACACTTTGAAATTACACAAACTTCCCCAAGTATTGACGCATTTTGTTGGTGGTATCTCCGAAGGTGCTTCTTAATTATCCCGATAATGATTTCAATTGGATTAAAAAAAGGACAATACGCAGGTAGGAATATGGGGATGATACCAACAGATCTCAGGTAACGGATAATTTGTGGATCGCAGTGGATGCGTGCACCATCTAGAATCCAGATTGAGTGAACTTCTGGATAGTTTTGAACGAGATTATTGTTCAACGCAAACCTACGGCAGCAGTCAAAAATTTAAGCCTATTAAAAGTTCCTTCCGTCCAAAAACTATCCAGCATTCCACCCAATCCAAGAAAACATAGAAGTGAAACGCTAGGCTTTCTAGAAAATTCTCCTCGGTAGATCAGTTTTTGTCCGATTACCCCATAACCCTTCCTGCTTAAAATGTCCTTGTTAGCGAATGACACTTCGTCCAGAAACACTAAATTATACAAATCCCACCGAATTGCGAGCAATTCCTGAACGAATCTAATTATCTCATCGTCTAGTATCTGCATTGCCCGCCTTTCAATAGTTTTCCAGCTAAGTCCGGCTTCATGTAGGATGGTACAAATCGACGAAACGCTCATCGAAATTTGAAAACAGTGTTGAAATCTCTGTTTGGCTTCATCGAGAAACAGGATTGGTTCGATCCGGTAGAGATTCACCAGCCATTCTCTCTTTTCGAAACAGAATTTTTTGTAAAGCCGTTCACGTTGTTTCCTTCTGAACACTCCATCACGTTCGTATCGTCCAAACCAATCGTAGATGGTAGAAATTGCCTTCTCGTAAATCGTAGCTAAATTCCTCTTCGAAATGCCAAGGAAATAATGGCCATAAAGAGCATGATACACTGTATTACAACTGGCATGCTGGCGCCGAACGTTGTGTGTAATAGGATTGGCCATTTTAAACCGACCTTGAACGTAAAATCTTCTGGTTCTATAGCAATTTCCTCTATATTTTCAAATAGCAAACTCGTTTTGTGTGATGAACTGGGAACAAACAAAAATATATTTACAAATGAAAGCAGATTATAAATAAATAATATCATGACCGAACTGTCATTGGTACAAATCTCGTGATGACAGTTAATTCGGGTGTGAGTCTCACGTTGCGTGTCTCACACGCGCGTTCCGATTTAGTGGGCGCGCGACAATACTTTTCCTTCGCTTATCTATGGAATCTATAGTATCTATAACTAGCACCCGTACGCCTACACTCAAAATAATCCTCACATCAATGCTACGTGAAAACACACATAGATTTTTTCCATCGCATTTTTCACGTAAGAGTAAGACTTACGTGATTCTCATATGGAGGCACTCAAATCAGTGAGCTTCATCTTCACTGGATTATCACGTAGAAGTTACGTGATTCTTCCGATAAAATGCATAGTGATTCCTACTGATTATTTAATTCCGATTTGATTTAAATAAAATGTATTCTTTATTTCTTAATAGACATACATAAATAGACAAAAAAACACATTGGCATTAAACATATAATGAAATAAAATTCGACAGAGACAAGAACACAAACAAAAATGCATCGGCTTATAACTTCCACTTAACTTGAAGCTCGATTTGAAGTTCATACATGATGGTCCTTGTCGTTATACTAAAAAAGGAACAAACCAAATTAATCTCCTTGTAAAATTTTAATTAATTATGCTTACAACTCGAAATTGTCTCAGTAAAGACCAAACCAATCTGGATTTCAATGGCATGTAAACATGCAGTGAATCACTCATTTATTTTTTCAGATGTGAAAATCACTTAGGGTTTACGTGAACCGAACGTAGAATCTGTGTATGTGTAATTCACGTAAACGTCATTAAAAAATCTGACGATTTCGAAAGGAGTTTCGGTTCACATATAAGTGGTATCATGTAGAGTTTACTTGGGCCACGTAAAATTGACAGCAAAGGAAAAAGAGATACCCTACGTGATTTTTCACGTAACAACAACGTGTCGATTATTTTGAGTGTAACAGTGTGCATGTGAGTGTGCATAAAAGGGGTTTCGTAAATTTTCGTAAAATTTGAATCATCCATTTCTGACATATTACGATTAAAGCCCTCTAGTTAAAGTATGGACGACTGTCCACCACAAAACTGGAAAAAGCTGTTCCAATTGAGCAAAGTGGTGCATTTTGACGGTTCGATTGGAACAACTTTTGACAGACTGGACGTAAACATTCATAAATGAAAATCATGCATAAAATAATTAATTTACGTTACGTGTAGGTATGTGAAACGCTGATAGTATTTATTTTAATTTAAAGTAAATAAAGTAAACAAATGTACATCCATATAAACAAAACCTGGGTGATCGGCGACTGTAAAAAGATACATTTTTTATTTAGTTTGAAATCGATTTTATATCACACACGAAGATTTAAACAAATGGCTACACTGCATGCCTCGCAGCATGCTGCATTAGACTGATGCAAAATTTGACATTTTCGCTCCACAGTGCTCAAACGGTTTCAAATCAGGTCCTGATTAGCCTCCCAAAATTTAAACTCATTTGGTAAGAAACTGACTTGGCACAAACTATTCGAAGTTTATATGGAAATTACTATGGGAAAACCAAACTTTGTGTTCATTGTCTTCTATCCATTGTCCATATTGCTTTTTCGAAAAAATTTATAACTATTCTTACGGGATACTTTAAAAGCTACAACTTTGCGCAATATTGTTTTTCAGCCAAATCTCAAATGAAATAGTTATTAATTGTTTAAGAGATTGATAATCTTATGGCAAGATTAAGCAACTGTATTGTGGGCAACACTGTATTCTGCAGTGTGACATAGTAGCCATGATTTTTTGTCCTCTATTCTACGCTCCATAAACACCAATGTTGCCTGCTGAACAGTTGAATGAGCATTATCATAAGACATTAGTGACTTGAATCATTAATAACTTTTTTTCCTTACATTTGATCGAAAAATGGTCTTCAACAAAGTTGTAACTGAAAAAATTTAAACAAGCTCATCTATCATTTTCTAAAGTAGAGTGAACTGGTGAATTTTGAGATAGATATGAACCGAAATGATGGTTTCTCTATAGTAATTCCCATATAAACTTCAAATGGCTTGTGCCAAGTCAGTTTCTCACTAAATGAGTTCAAATTTTGGGAGGCTAATCAGGACCCAATTGGGAACCGTTTAAGCACTGTGGAACGAAAATTTCAAATTTTGCATCAGTCTATTGCTGCATGCACGAAGGTGCTTTGTGAGTCAGTCGATCTTAATGAACCACGTCGTCCCTCCTCTTGGGTAGGGGAAGAATATTGACAAAGTGAAATGAAAATCAGTTTTTCAACAATAAATACTCGTCATCAATATTACCTCAACAATTATTTTGCCATTATGTCAATATATTGACCCGTGTAACGAGTGCTATAGCGGGTTGTCAATATTTATGTATTGATAATATTGTAAGGAAAATTGACAATACGATGTTTGTCAATATATTGACATGTGTAATGGGTGCTTTTGACAGCGCAATCAAAACAAATCTGATTTCAATTTTGGTTGAGTTGATTTCGTGCATAATTTAAATTTAATCATTATTCAGAAGTGTCCTAATTTCCTAATCCTAAAGCGAACCTCACACGTATTAATATATTGACGTGAAGGGGAATTATTGACATTATTATTGATGATGTGAATACAGAAATATTGTCAATACCGATGTATTGACGTCAATATTGAATGTATTGACAATACGATTATTGTCAATGAAAGCAATCGTGTAGGGTCCACTTAAGCTGATTCATTCGTGCTTCCCAAATCGGTCGCAACTCTCGAGCGTTGTAGTCTTCACGGCCAATAAGGTCGACCCCAATTTGAGTTCAGTTTACTCATAAATCAAAGTGCAGGAACTCAGCGTTTCCTCATGTTTTCCTGTGGAACAGAGTCTACCGGGAAGTAAGGAAAATTTGCGAAAGTTTTACTCAGCCAACAAGTAGCACCAATAGACTAAGTGAATCGAATCTTGACTCAGGTTCCGATCTTGTTTCTGCATACCTGCAAGGAATAAGTAATTCAATCTGACATCGAGTCAGAATATTGCAGTTTCTCTTTCACATCCCAAAATAAAAATTTAAACACAATCACAAATGTCATTTTATCTTCAGAGTTACCAAACTCGTACCTTGATAGGCACACTTCGGGCTACTTCGGCACGTTCGGCATAGCGCTTGGCACACCTTTCGACACAGCTAAATCCACAGTTAAGGTGTGCAGAGTTGAATACCCCTTGAGCTGTTGTATGTCCTAGTAATGGGATTTTGTACCCGTAACCAGGACATCTTGAGTGCCAATCTGCGCTTGAAAACATGTTGATGTTTTCAATTTGGTACTATTTGAGGTGTAATGTGAATTGCAAACTACTCTCGATATTTGTTTCCTCTGTAGGAGCTGATAAACCTTGGTTTTGATTCGCTTTGTTACCATATCAATTCTGACACTCGTTTTCTATGAACATCCTGAAAGCATCGCAGGTAAAATCGAATCACACTTGTTTCACCTTGAATCACTCGAGGACAAAGAAATACAATTAGTTCCAAAAGTCCCCAGTTTTTGAGAAATTTAGGGTGATTATGATCAGGATTCCAAAGGTAAAGGGGGTCAAAAACAACAGTCATGTAGATGAAAACACGGTGGAATAGGATTGACAAAATGGTGGACGACCAATCTCGATGACTTTTGTTTGTATTTTTTCCTTGCTTTATACATAAAATACAACTTAAAAGTGAAAACAACAAAATTTTAATCCTATCCCGAAATGCACGCAATCCATTTCTGAATCGCTTTTTCTTCAAATCCCTTCAAAATAACCAAAAAAATAACAGTTATCATGCTCACAGCATACATTTGAAAATCGGGAAAAGCCCGTTCTCCAGTTCCAAATATCAACGCCGGATCCATACCAGCAAAATTATCCAACACGAAACTCATCCCGTCGGCTCCCAAGCCAACCCAATCCTAGATAACAAACTAACGTAATACCGTCGGCTCCATCGCTTGCCTCAACCCAACGAGCTCGGGCTGGAGGAGGAAGAAACTAACCTCTCTAAAAGCCTCCATCCACTCCTCATTCCACAGCGCGAGAGACCCGACGGAAAACTTCTGCTGCCCTAACCTGCTCGTTGGTTGGTGCCTTTACCTATCATGATCGCAGGTCCCAGGTCGTAAAACGTCATAAATCAAGCGCGTAATGCTATTGAAGTAACGACGGCAAGGGTTAATTGAAAACTTTTCCCCGTGGCACGCATTTCGGGCTCAATTTTCGCCCGAAAACTGTGTTATGACTTGGAACTATTGTTTGCTTGATTTTCCTCGCTCCCCGAGTAGCATTTTCGTCGTATCGGTGATATTGGTCCTATCCGCATGTACAAACACAAACGTAAACGAAAAGTGACAGTCACTAGTAGGCGGGGGGGAGGGTTAGCGGCGCAGCGCGGCAACCAAAAACTTCGTTCGCCCAAATCGGAAAACAAAGCTCGACCGAAGGAAAAGGAAGAAAAAAAAAACAAAAACAAAGTAGACGACGACGACGACGACGGGAGACGGAAAATTTTCCAGCCTGGAAAAAGTTTTTGTTTTGCTTTTGCCCTCCGCCAATCCGCCGCCCACCGCCCGACAGGAGTGCACACAGCATAGTGCAGCAGTAGTTTTCGTTCGGGTTCAAAGGTGAGAGTGCGAAAGAGAGCGGCGACGACGACGACGCTTATTTACTGTCGGGGGGGAAATCTTCGACTTGGTCGGAACGTGAGTGTTGTGCTTTTCTTTTTGTTTTTGTTGCGTTTCCGTGGAGGGAGGGGTGGTGGAGGGGGAGAGTGGGAGGTGAAGGGGAATGTTTTCCCACACCCCCGACGAAGACGGTGGAAATTGGTGAGAGAAAGAAGCGTGAGTTCCGTCCGGAGAAGTGGCGAGAGAGTCGAGAGCGTGTTTTTTTTTGCGAATGGTTAAAAGGAGGGGAAGTGAGTGACGACCGCCTGGGTTGGTGTTGGTGAGTGGTTATGTACGGCGGTGTGGTTATCGCGGCGGTGGAGCGCGTGCGAAGCATCCGTGAGAGAATGCGTTCTCCGTGTGTGCGGCTCGCGGCTATGTACTGGCTCGGGTGAGGTGAGAGGGAGAGTGAGCGTGAGAGTGTGCGAGCGTGCACGTTTTGATGAGCGAGGTAGGGAGATAGAGAGCGAGCGAGCGCGTTGGAGAGTGTTGAAGATGTGTGTGCATCGCGTAGTCACGTTCGTTGCTGGATCCCCGCGCACGTGCGCATTCTCCCAGGACACCAACCCTCCAGCCGGATCTACGGTAGCTCCTCGTGCATACTCCTCGCAATATGTGCACCGAGTGCGAGGCAGCAGTGGCAGCGTTGCACACACAGAGAATTGGCGGAATAGGCAGCGAGGGAACCTCGGATGGATGGATGGATGGATGCATGGACGGACGGACGAGGGGCCCTCGTTATGTACAGTGGGCCTCTAGTAGGTTCAAACCCGTGGTGGTGGTTCTATGTGGTTGTACGACGAAGACGACGGTCGGCGGAGAGTCTCTATGTGCGCGCCTATGTGTGTTGGCCGCAGCCCGAGTGCGATTTTTCCCTAGCACAGAAACGCAGCGCTGCGTTCTGTGTTCAAACGTCAGTTCAATACAAGTCGCTGTTCGGCCGCATCGTAAGTGCAGCAATACACCGCTGCCGCTGCCGTTTGCCATAGAGATTCGAGAGCGGAGCGGATTAATTAGAAGTGTTTTTTTTTGTGTGTTCCCCGTGAACCTTCTTGTGCCTCCTAGTACGACGATTCTTTCTCCGTCGCCTCCCTCTGGTGGATTGTTTTTTTTTTTTTTCGGGAGGCCGAAGGCTTCTTCGTCCTGGACTTTGTGTGTGATCCGGAGATGTGATGAGATGACGACGACGACGGCGGCGGTGGTGGCGATGAGGACAACGAAGACGACGACGGTGGAGGAGGACTAGGAGGAGGCGTAGCGGCTCTACGACGATCTCTCATCACACACACGTCACACACAACACACAACGGAGGAGTTCTGGGTTGGCGTTAGACCAACCGACCACCGACCAGTTCAGATCAGATCAGGCGGACTCTAGGACGTGTGTGGTACATGGCTCCGGAGCCTCCACGCGAACCGAACTACCCGAAGGCCGAAGAAGTGTGTGTCCAACTATTTAGTAGTTCTTCTGTTAGTTTTTTTTTTTTTAATTCGGGGATTCTGATCTGGTCGGTGTTCCGGAAGCACCACCGAGGGAAGGCGGCACGCGGAAGCGAGTGTGTGTGACACGGAGCAATCGGTGCGGACCTTCCGATAACCGAAGAGCGCGCGCGGTGGCGTCATGTGAGTGTGTGTCACGGCTAGTTTTCTTCTAGTCGGATTCTTGGACCTGGACTTTTTTGCTGCTGCGGCGGAGGAGACTTTCCAACTTCTAAGCCTAGGACTACCATTACAGTGGCCGCTGACGTTTATTAAAAAATTAGACAGTGAAGAAGACACACGCGCGCGACTCTCTCGGACTGGGACCCCAAGCGCGGTGTCTACGGAAGTGACTAGCAGTGCAAATCCCGGAAGATTCTGGAAGCCAAGTTTCAGCCCCCTTCGCGGAAAACGAATAATTCTGGATTAACTCGCGAGTGTTTTGCTGCACCGTCGCTAGCGATTTGCCCGGAACAGTAGGCCGATGATTGTAACTTAGGACAAACCACTGCCCGCAAATCTTTCCGGCGACTGCTTTGTTGTTTGGACAACTCGCTTTTTCCCACCAATAAATTGCGACGCATTCCCCCCTCGGACGAATCAGATTTAAATCTTTCCGCTGCATGGAACTGTGTCGTTTAAATCTGACCGAAGAATTTGTGTGTGATCGCAAGCGACGGTGATCTTCAGCGACCGAAAAAAAAACTAACCTTCCCCATTTCTCTTTCTCCCCCTCTGCAGTTACACAAAATCTTTTCAGTTTTTCCCTAAATTTCTAAAACAAAAGTAATGTAACAAAGTCGCCAATCCAAAAAAAAATACAAGAAGCCATATTTGAAGAAAAAAGCGGAAAATTCGAATTCTCGATCTGATTATAACAAAAAAAAGTTTAAAAAACAAAAACAAAAATTTCTTTGAGTGAGTGTCATATTTCATTACCAACAACCATCTCTACGCAACTGAAACGTCATCAACAACAGCTCGAAACGTCATCGCTAACGTCTCATCGCTTTCCTTTCGTCAACTTTTTTTTTCCCCAAAACACAAACCGCACGGAAAAGTGGGAGGAGTAGAACCAATCAATCTCCTCCGGCGCTCGGTTCAAGCAAAACAACAGCGTAAAATAGTGCGTGTGACTGACATACGAAGGCAGTGTTAAAGTGATCGATAACAAGTAAGAAAATTACAACATCAAAGTGCAGGTGAAGAGCAATGTTGTCGCCTACTATTGCTAAGTCGCAGCAGAACTCCGCCTACTACGTCAACAACCGGAACAACAACAACAACAAGAACAACAGCTGCGACGAACGCCGACGATGGGATTATTACAACAGCCAATAATGGTGAACACTCCTCCTTGAAGCTCCTCAGATTTGAGTTTTTTTTTTTCATTTCCGGCTAGGAAGAAAAACGTCATTTTTCGGCAAAACAGCAGAAAAACAAACAAACAAACACAAGAATCAAGCAAGTGCGTCGGATTTCCGAGTTTCGAGCAGTTGAAACTCAAACCAAGCGAAAAAAAAAAGTTCGAGGTGTGTGAAATGATGGGACAAGATCGGCAGCAGTGACTTTCTCGCCGGCTTTTCGTTCGCATTTTCGGGATCCGGAATTTCTTCGGGTGCGTGTGTGAAAAATTTCCTCGGGTGCGTGTGCGGTTTGGCGGTGATCGTCGGTATTCGTCGTCGTCGTCGCGAGTGCGCGGGAGTGTGTTTGTGTGTGCGTGCGTTCGTTCGTTCGTTCGGTGATCGATAAATTGCAAGATCGGATCAGCTTCCAGATCAGGCAAAAGAGCAAGAGATAGAGAGAGAACATAGCGACTAATTGATATAGGAGGTGAAAACATACCAAGAAGAAGAAGCAAATTAGAAGATAAACAAACAGAAGGCTGGGAAGAAGGCAGCGAGAAGTTATCGTCTGTGCGTGGGTGTTTGTGATCGCTGTGATATCAAGCCACTACTGTCATTGATTGCACTACTGCTGCCGCTGCCAGCTCTAAGCCGGGACGACGGTGTTCGTTCTGGACGGCTTACCCGCAAGCAATATCCAAACGAACACTCCCCGAACCTTTATGGAGTGCTGGACGGGTGACGCCCGCTTGGCGAGATTTTGCGATTAAGGTAGGTCGGATCCAGTTCGTAGTGTTTGATCTTAAAATTTGTTTGTGAAAGTGGAAACCTTCGAGAATGGTTGGCCTTTACCGGGGTTTATTGGGTTTTGCTCTAGTAGAGGTGGAGGCGTGCTTTTTCGGAACATTCCGATCGACTCTATGGGGGAAACTGGATTTGTTTTGTGATATCAGGGCTTGTAGCAGGTCTTTTTTGAGTGGCTAGGTCGCTATTTTCAAGTCAGTCACTAAAAAGTCACTTAATGTTGAGAGTAAAGAATTTGTCTCTAAAAATCACATCAAATTTGGAACAAATTTGTGTTAAAATGATTCATTAAATTCAGCGGAAAATAATATTTGTGAGCAGACAAGAACTAGTGATAATGATAGAAATGCTAATATTTTGATTTTTTTTTCTAATCTTAAAAATTTGTCTAGGCCAGAATATAAAATTTCTAATAATTTCCTGCGATCTCGAATCATTGATAATTTCATCAAAAATTTTCTGAGGTTTCGAAAAAAAAGCTGGTTCCAATATCCTGGTTTTTTTACTTCGTGATCTTGAAAGCTTTGCAAGCCTTAGATTTAGAGAAATAGTCTAGAAAAATTTTCTTGCTGTAAACATTTTTTCAAAGACGAATATTGACGCAGAATCTTGAATAATTTTCTTGGTCCATTAAACTGTATTGTATTTTTTTTCCGGACTTGTAACCTGAAATTAAAAAAATAAAAATCCAAGCTTAAATTTTAGAGGACAAAAATGTTTGTCCAAGATGATAAAATTTGATTTACGTTTCAGAAGTACTTACATTTTTCTAGGACTGTGACACTCTATATTCAAAATATTAAAAGTGTTGCGGGCCGTACATTTTTTGAATTTGTTTATTTTAGATATCTTGATTTTTTTAGTTCCAGCAAAATCTCCTAAATGTATCCCGGAATATTAGAATTTTCTTCTTCACGTATGCAAAATTTGCTATGACCGCAATCTTTCCATCTTGGAAAATTTTCCTCGTTCCAAAATAATGAGAAAAGTTGTGTAGGTCTCAGAGTTATGAAAATTTGAGGTGATACAAACGTTTCTACATCCGAGATCTTTTTATTTATTGTCTAAACATTGTCAAAAGATTACCTAATTTAATCGAATAATACAATCTCGCGATCAAATGTATGGGATCCTTAAACCATTATTTGTTTTATTTTGAAGAAGCATGAAAAACACTCGTGATGGGTTGTGATTGTGATTTTTTTAAATTTCTCGATGTGGGTCGCAACCAACGGAATATTCCAGGAACAACCGGTAAAAAGTCGGGAATTTGAACAATCCACCAGAAAAATAATCTTAATGCAATGATTTCAATAGCTTCTGAATTTCACCGAAAGACTGACTAAAAGTAAATTGGTACGCACAACGAGACCTGTAATTCTTGATTCAAAGTTACAGCATTAGATGGAGCCCATCAGCGCCCGCACAGTGGAAACGGACACGGAATCAGCGCATTTCTTCCATTTTTCCCGCATTTGTTGAATGTCCTGGACTGCCCCGCCGCTCCGTTGAAGTCGCTGCTTTGAAATTGCCCAGTATTTTTCGATTGGTCGAAATTCCGGGCAATTCGGAGGATTCATTAGCTTGGGGACAAAATCGATCTTGTTGGCAGCATACCACTCCCGAACCTCCTTGGAGTAGTGGCAGCTGGCCAAATCGAGCCAAAAGATGACTTTGCTCCTATGCTTGCGGATGAAAGGCAATATACCCTTTTTCAGGCATTCTTCGATGTAAACTTGGGATGTTATCGTCGAGGATGTGACAGGTGCTTCCGTTTTCAAACCACAACTGCAAATCGCTTGCCAAATCATGGCCTTCTTCGCGAACTTGTCGGCAACCACGAACTCGAATCTTCCCGGCACATCCCCACGTCCAGTCGCGATGTAAAACTTTTGACCGGGAAGCTGCTTAAAATCGAGTTTGACGTATGTTTCGTCATCGATCAAAGTGGAGCCCTTGTGTTTCGTCAGAACGCGGTCTTACGAGAGCCTTGCACGCTTTTTGGCCACGTAATTCTTCTATCCTTCCTTGGCAAGGACTTTCCGCACCGTTTGAAAGTTGGCATTGTACCTTCTGGCCACATCTCAGATCGAACGACCGGGGTTGGCTTTAACGCAGCTCAACACCTTGCTGCGCAGCTGACGATCCCTGGTTCCAGTTTTTTCGTAGATCCGCTGATCCCTTTCCACACTCAGGGTTTTCTTGTAGGTTTTGAGCACTCGACAAACTGTTATTTTCGGCATCTTCAGCACTTTAGCCAGCTTGGAACCGGATCACTCCGGATTTTCCAGGTGTTTAAGCACAATATTTTTTCTTCTTTCGAGTTCCATTTGACGTTATTTCTGAACGCGATCGACCACTTTGATCAAACTTGCAAACAAGTTGTTCTCTATAGAAGTGTAAACACTGTCAAAGATTTTCGATTCGCAACATTAGAGGCGTGCTAGCGGCGCGCGAGGGGCGTACCAATTTTCTTTTAGTTAGCCTTAGTTGTTAGGTAGTAATGGCTCATGGTTCAATTATTCCGATGCCTGCGAACTAAAACCTCTACACAACAACAAATGTGTAGCAAGATGAACTAAAAGAGTTGGCGCCGGTGGCGTAGTGGTAAGCGTGACTACCTCTCACCCCAGCAGGCCTGGGTTCAATCCCAGTCGGCGCCACCGGGATGTTCTGAGGCATAACATCTCTGATCACACCTTCCTTTGGAAGAGAAGTAAAGCTGTTGGTCCCCGTTCCATGAGTTGATGGGTCGATAGGTAGGGTCCAGGTGTGGGAGCTGCCTCCCGTCGGTAGCATTGGTCTTCAGCACGGAAAACAAGATCGCCGGAAAACAAACCAAAGATCTACAGAGATTTTTTTTTAGAACTTCAGCAAGTTTTGTAGAAATTCAGAGAACTTTGAAGAACTTCATCGAACATTGTTGGACATAAGCAAACTTGAGATAAATTTTGTGATTTTTTTAGAAATTCGGAGAACTTCAATGGAGTTTTTGAAGATGTACATCGGTACATCGTAGAACTTCAGGAAATTTAATATTCATTCGAGAAAACTACGTAAAATTGCAGACCGATTCAATGTTTTTAAAAACTCATAATCGGCCATTTTTGTTGTTTAACCCGTTGTGTCATACGCGAAGTTTGCGATTTTCAGAGTTGGTTGGAAATGCTATCTTACATGAAGCTTTAGTGTGATAATTTATTAGCTAGATAAAGATCTTAGAAGAAGGTAGGTGGATAGTTCCGTTAGAGTACCCGTACGATGTACGTGGAGATTTAAAGTATGTCTTCAAATCTACAGGCAAAAAGAGTGCGCTTGACTTTGCTTTAATACTGCCTGCGGCTATGGAATAGTTCTAGCGACGTTTCATCACTACCCAAAGCCCCACGTTGTTGAGAGCATTTCCAGTCGATGGTATGTTATAATGCAATTCTGAGACTGAAAAGTTCGTTGCTCGGTGGAAAGTGCGTTTGATTAAGTTATATATCACGTCTGTTATGATTAAAATTTATGTCAAAATTGACGCTCGTATATGTCACTCTCAGAGCACCTAAATTTACATGCGGGGCTGTATGTCAAGTAAGTTCTTCAAACCTCGAATGCGTTTTGAACCTACTCTACTAGTCCATTTCGTATAATTGAACCTCACGGAACCTACAGTCATCGTTTTGCTTCCTCAAATTCGCTAAATGCTGTCCTCCATACCTTAACCAAAGTCATGAAACTTCCAGACCTGGAATACCTTAGATATTTGTGATCGAAATACACTATTGGTGGCTCTCGATATCATCTGCACCTGCACTTAAAGTTCTCCGCACCCTTAGTCTGCCTGAACTGGATCTGTTCCAAGAGGTATTAAGCCTATAGACTTGAAGAGCAAGTGAAAGGACGTTTTTTAGACCAACTGGATTTCATCAAGTGTGTACTTCGATCTAGCTGAAAAAGCCATTCATACTTGCCATGACGGTCCTCCAACCTTTATCATGGATACCACTGGAATCACCCAGATTAATCAGAAGAGCCTGTAGGCAAATATTATAAATTAACAATATGGTTCACCCTTCTATTATTCCCAAGACACGATTTTTCCCGACACTAGCGGCTCCAGCGACACGAAAGTTGACTATTACACTGTGAATTGAGCGCTAGCAGCTGACAGCTCAATATCAACTAGGCTATCAAAAACAACTCACAGAGTAAAATTTTACCCAGAATTGTGAAAAATTACCAGTTTTAAATTATATTAGAATTTTATTCAAACTGGAGGTTATGACAAAACAGCGTTGGAAAACCTACACACCATTTGAAAACTACTCACAACTGGATAGAGTCTACCCAGTCCGGTCAAAATTGACCCTACACAAAAATGGGTAAACAGACTTTTGAAGGAAACTCGGTAAAGTTTACTCAGATGTTGACATTTCGAGGGGTTTCTACCAAGCTTGTAAGGTGATCGGTAATCAAAAATTTCCACAAATTATTAAAATAATTAGTGAATTTTGAATACCTCAGTAATTTCAATATAATAAAAATAATTGTGGGTAATTTCAGTAATTCCTACTGCTTGAAAAATAACTTGGAAATTTTTAAAATAAAAAAAAAACTGTAATATGAGTAATTCCATAAATATTTGTGCTATGGAATTATCATATTCTTTAAAATTTTATGATTTTAGTTGCCTCAGGTATACTTTAGTATTAAATTAGTGGAAATCGAATTTGAATATTTGAAGAAATGAAAATCTGAAAAAAAAATTAGGGGCCACATTATGCAACCAAATCAAAGTGAATTTTTCATTTTAGGGGCGATTTATGTCACTCTAAATTGAGAAAAAAAAATAAACCCCCCTTCCCTACTTTCGTTACGTTTTTCCTATATCTAATGCATTGCTTGTCACAAAATCATAACCCCCCCCCATCACCCCTTAGTGCGATAATCGAGATTTGATTGCCAATTCAGTGCCAACA